GGGGTGGAAGGAGGCAGAGGCGTTTGGCATCGATGACCTGAGTGTCGCCGTCGGAGAAGCAGAGGCGTTTGGCATCGATGACCTGAGTGTCGCCGTCGGAGAAGCAGAGTCGTTTGGCATCGATGACCTGAGTGTTGCCGTCGGAGAAGCAGAGGCGTTTGGCATCGATGACCTGAGTGTCGCTGTCGAAGAAGCAGAGGCCTAGTCACCGATGCCATTGTCGGAGAGAGGGAATGAAAAAAGGAGGCAGGTCTATGAGATGGAGAGATTGGGAGGAAGAACGATGCATAGGAGGAGGAGGGGGACGATGAAGCTGGAAGGAGAGGAGATGTGGGGAAGGGTAATCCTGGAAAAATAAGCCTCTGAACCATTATGCAACCCATTAGATGCAAAATCGTTAAGAGGTAATTGTCACCATTAAGAGGTTCCATTTTTTTTTGCCAAACAGCCCTTGCCTCTTACCGATTAAGAGCCTACCTCTTAATGTCACCATTAAGAGGCAAACAAACAGCCCCTTACTAATTATTGTCTTATATATTTATGAGTAAAAATATAATTTATATTATAACAGGTAAAATACATAATTATGGTCATGACATGCGAGATTTCGAACATGGATTTGAAATTTTTGGGCCAAATTTATACATTTTAGCCTGTATCTAATAATATATGTATAAGGATCCATTCAAGAAAGAACTGATTAGTTTTTGCTAACTGTGAGATCCAATTTCAACTACAAATCAATAAATTAATTAGAAAATTTATAATTTTGGTAATTTTTAATTAAAATTTTAATGCAAGGACATTTTAGGTATTTTCTCTCATCATTCCTCTCTTCTCTCTCCGTCCTCGTCTTCCGGCTACCGTCCTCCGGTAATACCATAGTGTGATGTTCAAGCACATATAAGATACATTGTGATACCACTGTGTTACATATCCGATCGACACACAAACGACCACAGTGTAATACCCAATCACATATAAGATGCATTGTGATACTACTATGGTATCACCGGAGGACGGTAGCCGGAGGCCGGAGGACAGAGGCCTAGAGACGAAGAGAGGAGAGAGGAGAGAAAATACCTAAAATGTTCTTGCATTAAAATTTTAATTAAAAATTACCAAAATTAAAATTTTTCCTAATTTATCTATCGATTGTCAAACATGATAAAGTCTCAGATACATAGATTATCTATACTATCTTATTAAGCAAATTTAGTAAAAGTCTTAAAGTCTTAAAATACTAAATGACCAAGATACCATTTATACTACTTTTTCACTTTTTCACCCCCTCCTCTTCTTACATACACTCACCCTCTCATATACACTCACCCTCTCACAACCGATTTTTTTAAAATTATAATTTTAAATTTACACTTTATACCCCTATAATTAGTTAATTAATTTACTTTACGTTCTTTACTTTTAAATGTTTTATTTTTAACATTTATCAAATTAACATACATAATCGTATATCAATTAAAACATGTTTAAAAAATACATTT